GACGGTTTGGACTACAGCCTTGAACTGCTAATGCATCTCTCGATGCCTTTTCGAAGGGTTCCTATCACTCTTTCTCAACTCATAATTCACCAGCGCTGAGGTCACCTCCTTGTAACTAACAGTAGTTCTTCTATTGATCATAGTGAGAACGAACGTACCATAATCATCCTCTAGCAACGAACATAAAAGTAGTATCGCCTTGTCTTCATCCTCAACCATGATGTCTACATTGGCCATATCTGAAAGTAACTTCATGAAGTTATTTACATTCTCCCTAATGGAAACCTCCCTCTTCATCTTGAACTGGTAAAACCTCTTCTTCAAGTGAAGTCAATTCTCAATTCTCTTTGTAAGATACTTTTCATTGAGCGTTTCTCATAATCTTTTCGTCGACTTTCTCGGCCCTTCATCACATCCATAAATAAGATCCAGCCGTCAAGCATAACCGAATAACATCCACAAGCTCTTTTTTTTTTTTTTTTTTTTTTTTTTTTTTTTTTTTTTTTTTTTTTCTTTTTTCTGTTCATCTTCTTCCAAACCTTGTCGCTCCATGTCTTCAGTTTCTCTTGTAACTCAGAGTCCTCCTCAAATTCTATGCATCCAACGCATCCATCCACCTGGCACCTCCACAATCGGAAATTGATCTTTGTCATCGAACTTTTGGAATATCAATCTTTATATTATGATGCTAGGACTCCATGTCATCGGCCTTTGTAAGCAGACGACCCACATGTGTTGCTCTCCCATGTTGCTAGCAGTCTAACTCTCCCAAGCTAAGAATCCTCCAGCTGAATTCTTTCGAAAGACAAATCCAAACCCGAAGCTCTGATACCCACTGTTTATGCGTAGCTGGAACTCGAAAAGCCAAATAGCTGCACTGAACAGATACTAGAAAGATCACAACCAAAAACACAAACACAAATCAACATCCACAGCAAAAAAGGGGAACAAAAAAAAAAAAAACCATTTACATAGTTCGGTAAGTGTTACGTCCACCGGGGTAAGCGAAGGGTTTACTATTAGAGATAAAGTAGAATTTACAAATAGCGGCTTTCAAGATCTACCAAAACCCCTCAACAAAAGCCCCTCTCTAGATCTCTCACAACATCCTCCCACAAAGGATGTAACATCCTCTCTCAAAGCGACTGTTCAAATAGTCTTTACTTAATTCTAATTAATGCAGGTTTAGGCGTTATATACCAACTAAATAAAACGCGTTACAAAATCAAGCCCAACTCAAAGCCGACAGCGCCGGTCGACCGCCAAACCGACGCCCGCGTCGACCGACCCAGCCAATCGACAGAATACTACAATTCTATAATGAATTGTCGGGTCGACCCATCACAGGCTGCGCCGACCCAACCCAATCTCCCAGAGCAAGCAATTGATTTACAGGCCGCCGTACGGTCGCCATCGCGACGGTCGACCGCCTTCACCAAGTAGAAATCAGTTCAGGCCTCGTGCACGTTCCGCCGGTCACCTTGAAAACTATTTCTCTTACCATTTTTTCTCTGAACTTCACAAAGCGTCCATCTTATCGTTGTCTCCAGCAATCTTAACAACTGTTTGTTACTATTAAAAATGTTGATAGTCCTAGATATTTGGATAAGGGTGCGTCAGAAAAAGAAAATGTAGAAAAAGGGGCTCCTCTTTGGGGGTTTTGTTTTCCAGAGGGCTTTACCTATTTGTCTTCAAATTTTGAAACTTTTTCATCATCTTAGTTGCTGACTAATTTACTTGCAATTGATGGCCATCAAATTCTTGGTTAATCAGAATCAGCTGGACATTGTCGATAAAAAAAAAGTTTTGCTTTTGCACTAAATTTGCCCTTTCACGCCCCGGGCCCCGCAAGCCCGTTTGGCCCACGATGGCTACATCTTGCAGCATCCACTGAGGGGCAACACGTCGCGTTATGGCCCCTTCAATCCACTGAGCCAAATTTTGGCTATGCCAATGATTACACTTGCGCACTCTCAAAGACCCATTATTTTAAACCGTTCAATCACTGACTCAGCTATCGGATATCGCGGACTAAATGCTTGGCGGTATCACAGCCCTTCCTATGATTCTCAAGTGAATCTTCTTGCCGGCTCAATACTAGGTTTAGAAATGACCAAAACATTGCCTATTGAGCGGCGGGGGGGTTTTTTTTGTGCTATTTGGTCTCTACTCAATGTGATGATCTGATCGATCTCGATAATATCTGGTCCACTTCTTGTGAAGCGACATTAATTCTTTCTCATTGTTAAAGCTAGTAAGGGCCAACTTCAATGCACATATTATTATAGCAGATCCTGTCATAATATAATTGGGTGTAAATGAAGACTTAGATTAAATTCTGGTCATCTTTGATGGAGAGTACATAGACCAACTTGAAGTTACAAAAACAGTTCCTGGAGTTTCACAGCCATTTTCTTTGTGGGGGCGGAGAACCTCTGTACCCGGTCGAAGTTAGTCAATGTCTTCAACTGCCATGACATTGTCAACGTACGTTTCAGTTATTGATGAATATTGGTGGCACTAATTCATGAAAGTGGGTTTACTGGGGACCCGTCCTTTGATTATTCTTTACTTGCAAACAATTAAGATTTAACTCAGACTCTTATATGAAAAATGAAAGGCCTTAGATCTATAGATAGATTGTAAGAGCTTGATCATATATCATTCGAATCATCTTCAAAAATCCATTCCAGTGGCTCATCTGTTAGTTTTTTTCTCTGTTCACAGCTCTAGTCCTCCTCTCATGCCCTAAAGCTTCCACTTCCGTCACCACCTTCCATCCAAAACACGAAAATGTCAGCGATTGACAATCACTTCTTCAAATCCATGATATCTAGTGATCCAAGAGGGTCACTGGCCTTGTGGAACGATCATGCTTATTTCTGTCATTGACCAGGCATCACTTGTGGTGGCCTCCAACATCCTCAAAGGGTCGTATACTTGAACTTGAGCTCTCTCGACCTTGTGGGAGTTATTTCTAATGTCATGAGAGATTGGTCACAAACAATCAAATTAGTGGATCCATCCCACAAGTGATTGGTCACCTTCCCCGTTTGCAATATCCTTAACTTGAGTTCAAATTCTCTTGAAGAAGGTACCCCATCTAGCATAGGTAACCTTACCTCTCTGACTCAACTTTCCCCATGCAATAACAAACTCACTTGCAGCATCCCACCTAGTATAGGTAACCTAACAACATCTCTAACTTATACTATAACAAACTCCGTGGTAGCATAGGTAACATTACTTCTCTAACTAGACTTTACCTATACAATAACATTCTCAGTGGCAGCATCCCATCATTATTAACGAGCCTTTCCACTCTTTCTTTTCTATCTTTGTCCGGAAAAAAATTATATGGCAGCATCCCACATACCATTGAAAACCTTACTTATCTAACTTGACTATATCTGTACAATAACAATCATAGTGGTAGTATTCCATCTAGCATAGGTAATCTTGCCTCTCTGACTCTATTTTTACTGTACAACAACGGCCTCACTGGAAGCATCCCACCTAATATAGGTAACCTTACTCAATTGAATAAACTTTATCTAGATTCTAATGAACTGAGCAGAAACATACCAGCTAGTATAACAAATCTACAGGCATCATACCCAAAGAAATATTCTCCATATCCGTACACTCTCTAACTTTAAGGTTGGTCAGGGGTAATACCATCTGAAGTTTGGGGAGTTTAAGAAACTTGAGCATATCTGATGTCAGAATGAACAAATTGTCCAGCTCAATCCCTACCACTCTTGCTGAATGTCAAGTGCTGGAGGAGCTTTACCTTAGTGGAAATCTCTTTTAAGGAAGTATTCCTTCTTTAGCCTCATTAAAAGGCATCGAGAAGCTCAATGTTTCAATAAATTACCTGTCAGGAAAAATACCAGATTTTTTTCCGAAACTTTTATTTGCTAAACTATTTGAATCTATCTTTCAATAACCTTGAAGGTGAAGTGCCACAACTTGGGGTGTTTGAAAATTCAAGTGCA